CGGTATAGAAAATGCGCGCGTCATTTGAAAAAATTTTTGGTCACGGCGGTCGCAGTCGTATGTCCCGTATGGACGTACGGTCAAAGCAGGTCGTAAGTACCATTGGACGTAAGTCCGTATAGTCGTAAGTCGGGGTTTAGGTGTATATATATATATATATATATATATATATATATATATATATATATATATATATATATATATATATATATATATATATATATATATATATATATATATACACACACACACATTAGTACCCCGATTTACGCTGTCAATTGAACCCACAGGGTACTGCGTTAAGTGAAATCCTTGTAAATGGAACAACAGAACATATGGGATTAATTCCAATAGAGACTGGCCCGACCCCCAAACTCCACTTTTTCCGACACAATACCTATGTTGTAGTAAAAATAACATCTAAATTTTATGATGGTATGCTCACACAATTAATTTTTAAGAGAAATACAGTCACCAGGTTAATGTCCATTCAAATAATGGACTCAAATCCCCTCCCCTCTTCCCAGCTCACTGGCCCCTACCTCTCTGAGAAATGATTGGGTGAAACACTAGATTTTAACGTTTAGTAATAAATAATACCTCAGACTAAAGTTAGGATAATATAATTGACATTTCTGGATTCCTTGCAGGTCAGGGAATATTTTGAATGTAAACTTCATATATTTTGCACAAAAGATAAAATGCTTGCTTTGTGTAAACCAAATTATTACATTAGATCTAAAATTTGTATGTCTAAAGCAAAATCCATGATCATCATATTGTAAGAATTCCAGCAATGTAAATTGCTGTTAATCAAAGTGCCCCAACTTGCCTCCCCCCCTCTTCCAACCGCGCCAGATGGTCGGTCGGTCCCAACCCTCCCCCTCCCACCCCCCTCCCTACCAGAGAATTGTTGGGTGAAAAAACTAATTTTAACTTTTAGTAACAAATAATACCTCAGACTAAAGTTAGGATAATATAAATAACATTGCTGGATTCCTTGTAAGACCAGGAACATTTTGAATATAAATGTCATATATTTTGCACAAAAGATAACATATTTACTCAGAGTAAACATTACATCTAAAATTTGTATGTCTAATGCAAAATCTATGATGTTTATATTCAAAATGATCATCAAATTGTAAGAATTCCAGCAATGAAAATTATATTCTGGCCGGGTAATTTGTATGAATTTTATGAGCTAAATAAAAAAAAAATTATACTTCACGCGTGTATGGGTAGATGAACCGCGTAAAGTGAAAGTTCGGTTCTGGCGAGGCACCGCGTATATGAGAAATCGCGCATATGAGAAATCGCGCAAAGTGAAACCGCGTAAAGCGGGGTACAACTGTATATATGTGTGTGTGGGTGCGTGCGTGCGTGCGTGTGTGTATATATATATATATATATATATATATATATATATATATATATATATATATATATATATATATATATATATATATATATATATATATATATATATATATATATATATATATATATATATATATATATATATATATATATATATATATATATATATATATATATATATAAAGCACTAACATTACGATTGAACTGTTTTATAAATAATAATGATAATAGAGGGAGGTAGACCAGGAGAGGAGGCATGTGTGAGCTTGGGAAGTATGAATGTTGTGTAAACACTGAGGCTTCGGGTGCAGGAACTCCGAGGGACTTGAGTCGGGAGAGGTGGAGGCGGAAACTGGAGGATTTGACAACTTCACTGGCGTGTGGTTTCCAATTTAGTTTGTTGTCTATGGTGGCCAGGAGCTTCGTGGAATCTACAACCTGGAGTGTGGACCTAAAGTAATAGAAGGAGGTGGGACAATGTGGAGAGTTGATGTGCATAACATGGTCTTGGTATGGTTGATGGTGACATGGTTTATTGGTGCCCATTTTTGTCGACTGTTCAATAAATCCTGAAGGCCGTATAGTCAGGGAGCAGGGTGTTACGCTGATCCCAATGGTGGAGTCGTCGACATATTTCCCATGACAGGGGTTTCTCTTGGGCATCATTGATGGCATAAGGAAGCAAGTGGTCCCATCTTGGTGCCTTGGGGACTCCACAGGTGAGTGACTGAAAGTGGAACAGCCTTCCAGTGTACAGCTTGGCGTCGGTCACTGAAATCTGCTAAGCCATGTTATAAAGACTTCTCCGAAGCCGAGGTCAATAGCTTTGTTGATGATTATATTGGTAGTCGACTAGGTGAATGCTTTAGTGAAATCAATGAAGGCAACAGCCAGACGTTTTCGTTTCTCGAAGTGGTATATGTGTCGAGAAAGCTGACAAGACAGTGAGTGGTGGAGAGTTTTCATATTGCCAAATTGCTGAGGGTCTACAACTCCTGCAATATCAGCATAAGCCAGTCTTGAACACAAAACTTTCTAGATTAGGCTGGGTATTGGGGTGATTGCAATAGGTCGTAGCTGATTTAAGGATTGTGGGCTGGTTGACTTGGGCACTGGTGATACATAAGAGGTCTTCAGTCACTAGATCTAGCTTGACTGAGAGAAAGCATTGATGGTGGAGCATGGGTTTAGGCTCGGGAGAACTCCTTGAAGAGTTCCATTGGCAAGTCAATGGGGGTGGTAGAGCGTTTTAATTTTAGTTTGTCCAGGCTTTTGCTACTTCAAATTCTTCTACTAAGTCAGTGGGAAGGGGCTGGTAGGTAAGCAGGAAGTGGTTGTGTCAAGCAGGCGTCTGGCATATAGTAGCGAAATGGTTTTTGATTGCTCAGCTGCGTCAACATTAGTGAGGATAAAGCTAGGAAGGAGGGTGTGTCTTATTGTTTAGTCACAGAGTTCTTTAAGCTTACCATCCATTGACTGATGTTGGTCTGCTTCAGGTGTTGTAATTTGGTTGGGTAGTGGGACTTCTTTGCAGTGCATATTTCATGGATGACTTCGGTTGCGGTTGCTTTTTGTGTGTGTGTGTGTGTGTGTGTGTGTGTGTGTGTGTGTGTGTGTGTGTGTGTGTGTGTGTGTGTGTGTGTGTGTGTGTGTGTGTGTGTGTGTGTGTGTGTGTGTGTGTGTGTGTGTGTGTGTGTGTGTGTGTGTGTGTGTGTGTGTGTGTGTGTGTGTGTGTGTGTGTGTGTGTGTGTGTGTGTGTGTGTGTGTGTGTGTGTGTGTGTGTGTGTGTGTGTGTGTGTGTGTGTGTGTGTGTGTGTGTGTGTGTGTGTGTGTGTGTGTGTGTGTGTGTGTGTGTGTGTGTGTGTGTGTGTGTGTGTGTGTGTGTGTGTGTGTGTGTGTGTGTGTGTGTGTGTGTGTGTGTGTGTGTGTGTGTGTGTGTGTGTGTGTGTGTGTGTGTGTGTGTGTGTGTGTGTGTGTGTGTGTGTGTGTGTGTGTGTGTGTGTGTGTGTGTGTGTGTGTGTGTGTGTGTGTGTGTGTGTGTGTGTGTGTGTGTGTGTGTGTGTGTGTGTGTGTGTGTGTGTGTGTGTGTGTGTGTGTGTGTGTGTGTGTGTGTGTGTGTGTGTGTGTGTGTGTGTGTGTGTGTGTGTGTGTGTGTGTGTGTGTGTGTGTGTGTGTGTGTGTGTGTGTGTGTGTGTGTGTGTGTGTGTGTGTGTGTGTGTGTGTGTGTGTGTGTGTGTGTGTGTGTGTGTGTGTGTGTGTGTGTGTGTGTGTGTGTGTGTGTGTGTGTGTGTGTGTGTGTGTGTGTGTGTGTGTGTGTGTGTGTGTGTGTGTGTGTGTGTGTGTGTGTGTGTGTGTGTGTGTGTGTGTGTGTGTGTGTGTGTGTGTGTGTGTGTGTGTGTGTGTGTGTGTGTGTGTGTGTGTGTGTGTGTGTGTGTGTGTGTGTGTGTGTGTGTGTGTGTGTGTGTGTGTGTGTGTGTGTGTGTGTGTGTGTGTGTGTGTGTGTGTGTGTGTGTGTGTGTGTGTGTGTGTGTGTGTGTGTGTGTGTGTGTGTGTGTGTGTGTGTGTGTGTGTGTGTGTGTGTGTGTGTGTGTGTGTGTGTGTGTGTGTGTGTGTGTGTGTGTGTGTGTGTGTGTGTGTGTGTGTGTGTGTGTGTGTGTGTGTGTGTGTGTGTGTGTGTGTGTGTGTGTGTGTGTGTGTGTGTGTGTGTGTGTGTGTGTGTGTGTTGTGTGTGTGTGTGTGTGTGTGTGTGTGTGTGTGTGTGTGTGTGTGTGTGTGTGTGTGGTGTGTGTGTGTGGTGTGTGTGTGTGTGTGTGTGTGTGTGTGTGTGTGTGTGTGTGTGTGTGTGTGTGTGTGTGTGTGTGTTTTCCCAACACCACATTTATTAATGTTTTGTATCTCAATCAACAACACACACATATCTTGAATCACTGTATTTATTATTATATATTCTTGTATGATCAGTATCTCATGATGTATGTTTTATCAATGATAATATAAAATATTAAATACTACTATACAAAAATATAATATATACGTAATTAGTAATTTGCATAAAAAATAAATAACAAGCCGAATAATGAGATAAAAATAAGTATTGTAAGTATTGTATATGAAGGATTATTGGTATTAATAAGCTTTAGTTATAACAGTAACATATCTTTACTAATTAATAAATAACAAATAAAGAATACTGTATTGTGTTGGTTTACAGTAGGAATGACAAAGGCAGGGGTGGGCCTGTGGGAGACAAACCTTTTTTGGGGAGGAGAGTGATCAGTTTCTCCCCCAAGAGTCTATTCTCCTCCTCACTCCATCAGCTAGCTGTGGATAAGTTACTCTCTATGTACAGAACTAAACAAAGAATTTATTTGAAAGTACTCTGTAACATTCAATGCCATAATATCCTGACCAATGGGGTTTGTGAAAAAGCCATAATTTGGAGCAAAACATGACTGTACTTTAATATACAATTGTACTCATTTGTACTAAGTTAATTACTAAAATTTTTATGACTAGTGCAAACTACATTTCACAATTCAAAGTTAGTGACCTGAAAAGGATAGTATTCAATCTACATCTCCCTTATATAGTGGTACAATTACAGCATACAGTTGTAGGATATGAATCATTCACCTTGCTCAGTAGTAATACAGGCACTTTTCTTGCAGGTGAAAAACCTTACACCTGTCAAGTGTGTGGTAAAGCCTTCAGTGATACCTAACCTACATAAACATCGGAGATGTCATCGGGATGATGAAACTTGGCTTTTATCTGATCCAGCAACCATTGAAACATCTGAAGGAGACCATCGAATCATTTATATTCTTTCTGAGAAGGATGAGCCAGATGCAGCAACACTTACAGCTTTACAGGCTGTGGTAAGTTATAAGCTATCAGGATTTTGCATTTATTGCATAAGTTTAAATATTCTATTTTAAATTTTTCTGTGTAGATTTTATCCTTTTCATACTCTAATTGAACATTAACCCTCTCATGCATTATGACAAATTGCGTCGAATCATTATACCACAATTTGCATCAATGATGCAAATCGCCTAATAAACTTAAAAAATTTGCAAAAAAAAAAAAAATTCAAAGATAATTGCTCAAATTTTTTTGCTTCATAGATAGAATGCATGATTTGTGAATGAAACCTTCAGAAAATCAGTGGTGGAGGTTCACTGTCCATCAACTTCTCCTCAACTGTGCTTGTAGTTTGCATTTGTTTCTTTATGTCCTCTCCTACCCTCCCCATAATTAATTGTACTGTACCAAATTTCCAAACTCACGTTGGAAAGCTCATAAAATTTCTCTTCTATAACTATACAGTACAAAACCTTGGTAGGTTTGTGAGAAAATATCTGAGATGCTTGGAAGACAAATAATTTTTGTTTTTCTATATTCGGAGTGAAAAAAATATAGTCTTAATATCATCACTTTTTGTTGTTGTTGTTAAAGCCAAAGCAATAATGAAGCCAGTGATGTATAAATCATAAAAAAAACTATTAGGGGATAAATTGGCCCCAGAACAAAAGTGACCAGACCTCACATGAATGGTCCCATATATTACTTTTGTTGTGGTCATGGAATCTTACAACTTGTTGCATTTTGAGGCCATTTTGAAGCCATGCACTACGATATTTAGAGATATTCTGAAGTCAATAGTAAATACTTTTTATTATACAAAAATGCCTGAGTACAATACTACATTAAAGGAAAGATATTTTAATTTTCTGGTGAAAAGGGGGTCCAGACCCCCAGGAACCCCCTCTGTATCTACCCTTGTTGAAGGGGCAATTTTGCATCCTAAACCCAGGCAACTGTAAAGCATGAATTATTGTGTTCTTGTAGATAATTACTGAACAACATTATCACCTTGATGACATCTTGTTAACTGTGTGAGAAATTTGTCTCTTCTTGGTACTGGAGGTCAAGCATTAGTTACATTAGCTTAATACCCAGTTGTTATCATAAAGACCAGGTATAAGAGTATACAATAATATACAGTGGAGTCTGCATTTACGCGGTTTTTGTTTACGCGTTTGGTCAATTACGCGGTGCCGCCAGAATGAAATGCTTTAATTACGCTGTAAATTTGGTCATTTACGCGGGTGAAGTATAATTTGTTTACTGTATTTACTGAAGATATTTTAGCTCATAAAATTCATACAAATTACATGCCAAAAATATAATTTACATTGCTGGAATTCTTATAAGATTGTGATTAATTTAAATATAAACATCATAAAGTTTGCATTAGACATACAAATTTTAGATCTGGGGTATTTTGATTGACAGATAGTGTCTGGGTGAAGTATAATTTGCTTATTTACTGAAGATATTTGTTTTAGCTCATAAAATTCATACAAATTACCCGGCCAGAATATAATTTACATTGCTGGAATTCTTATAAGATTGTGATTATTTTAAATATAAGCATCATAAAATTGTAGACATACAAATTTTAAATCTAATGTGAAATTTTGATTAGAAAGAGCAAAAAATTTTTTGTGTGCAAAATATATGACATTTATATTCAAAATATTCCTGGTTTTGCAAGGAATCCAGCAATGTCAATTATATTATCCTAACTTAAGTCTGAGGTATGATTTATTACAAAATGTAAGCCTACTGTTTTCACCCAAAACATTTCTGCAGGAGATACCAGCTGGAAGGGGATTTAGTCCATTATTTGAATGGACATTAACGCGACTGTATTTCTCTTAAATATTAATTGTGTGTGCATACCATCATGAAATTATGATGTTATTTTTACTAGCGTACGTATTGTGTCGGAAAAAGTGGAGTTTGGGGGTCGGCCCAGTCTCTATTTCAATTAATCCCATATGTTCTGTTATTTCATTTACGCGTTTCTCGTTTTACGCGGGCCTTCACGGGTTCAATTGACCGCATAAATGCAGACTCCACTGTATTCAAAAGAGTGATTTGATAATGTGGTACCTAATTTTGAGCACTTATGATGAAATCGTGAATTCTTTGTTATGAAGTCTCAGGGAACTAAAGGAGATGTTTTGTTTACAAAACAGTCAAAATACAGTACTGTAAAAAAAATTGTTTACTGTTTGTTTTTTTGGCAGAATTGCTGAATATACTGACAGTAAGTTAAATAGATTAGCTAATAATGCTCTACTTCTTTGCAGCATAGTTCTTCTGTCTGATTATTGTAATTGCTCAACATATACTGGAAAGCAAAAAAAAGATATAGACACTAATGCTTTCACTCAACAGTATTCATTGCATTTACTACATTTGTTATTGTTATAAAAGCATTATCTTCTGATCAGGTTTATACTTATAAGTGACATCTGTCCTCTTGTACAATATGGCAAGAATAACTAATTTCTATAAGCAAACCCAGGATATAGCAGACGAATTTTTTCTTGGGGTGGGGGCAGTCCGTTAAAGTTAAAAGGCGTTATATCCGGTTCTGGAATAATAATGGACTTGGTCCGTTGTATACCAACATACAGTAGTCCGAAGTGACCACTTGGGTCCCTTTTCACCACCAACACTCAGCATCACTCATAACTAACACTCACCATCAACACCAACACTCACCATGAACACCAACACTCACCATCAACACCAACACTCACCATCAACTACCAAACAGGGAGGTACTACCGCCTGGGAAGATATTGGAAGCTTAATGTGTTTTCTAATGGTAGACTGCTGCCATATGGCATTGCAAAAATTGTGACCAAGTCCCAGATTGCTGATCTGACTTTCTGCCTCATTTACACACAATTGCAGTCTCAATTGTTTCTCTTACTATTGACAACAGAACATACACATATTGTTTCTCACTCTTGATCTTTTTTTTTAATTTTTGTATTCATGGTACAGTGAGTTCTGCTATAACGCGTGTTTTGACAAGCCGAATTGGCTCTAACGCGATTTATGAATAGAGGAACGATATTTGTATACTTCCCAGCGTTTTGCTGTAACGCAATTTTTGCTTACTATTTCTCCAATTTTGTGGTATTAACTGTGAATATGGTAAAGAAGAATATCTCCAAGAAGCGTTCTGGTGATCGCATTCCGGTGATGATCGTAAAAGAAAGGCTATAACCCTTGAAGAGAAGCTCGATGTTATCAACCTCAAATCACCCTTCTCCCCATCAAGTTATATTCATATTTTTTAAGGTAAAGTGTTACATTTACTGTATGATTTCATTATTAGATATGAATGTAACATTTATTTAGACTGTGCTAACCCTTGTGTTAGGCTAACTACTAAATTTTTCGATTTCAGGTAGTAATCTGCACCTAACCCTATTTTTTCCATAAGCCCTGTTATTTCTATTGGAATTTCTATACACGATGTTTTACAAGAGCACACACTGTCGGTTATAGCAGAACTGACTAATTACCCTATTTTGGACCTCGTGATGTTACCAGATCCCACTACTTTTGATGTCCTCCACTTTTCCTGCTCCTGGTAGTGTCAGCATCACCCACTTGCTTGACCTCTTTTTTTCAAATTTTATTGTGTGTTGGAGCACGGATAGGCCCTATGCGTACATTGCTATTGCAACAGGGTCCCCCTGCATTGTTCCCTCAGTTAACTGTATGATGGTATCACCTCCTAGAGCCTTGGTGTTTACTATATAGAGGTCTGATGGATTCCTATAGGTGTTTTCAACGTTAAAAGCTTGGGCACTTGATCTTGATGTTGTGCAGTGCGGCCTTGCAGTTAAGTATGTTGAATGCATTGGAAGCGTCAACCAGGAGAACGGCCTCACAATCACGCTGCTCAAATATCGTTCTTGTGGCATGAATGGCAGCTTCCCTCAGCCTGGTGGCCAGCACGAACTTGCAGGTTCCTTGCCGCTGCCTGACATCATCCCTACCACCTCCATTATGCATTTTCCGATGATCCACCTCAGCACTTCCCCCACCCCAAAGGCCTACATCCTGGATTCTTATCAGGGAATGAGGCGGCGCATCAGAACATGGAGGTGTTGGGAGCATGAGGTTGCTAGCTTTCTTGCAAGGTGTGGCAATGGCAGTGCAGAGATCACTTGCTACTGGGTCAAACTTGTTAGTGCTGAGGATGACTCTCCAACCGTTTGCATCCAGGCCTGAGGGGCTAAGTTGTTAAGTAATAGTAGAAAGGCTTTTAAGTCCCCATTACATGGCCAATAATATGGATTCAGTTGATAAAATCAATAACTTAGACATTAATTATGATTTTAAACTGGTCAGTTTTGATGTAACATCACTCTTTACAAAGATCCCAGTTGATGATTTGCTTGAGTCCTCACAGATTCTCTGGAGAATAATCTCTTGCCCGTCTCAATTTTTTTTTCAGTGAACTTATCAAACTGCATATTAAGGATTGTAAATTTGAATCAGTAGAGAATATTATGCTAAAAAATTTGGTATGGCGATGGGGGATCGCTTCACCAGTAATGAGCAACTTATATATGGAATATTTTGAGAAAAAACTACTAAGTAATATTTTACCATCTTCAGCAGTTTGGTTTAGATATGTAGATGATGTAATATGTCTTTGGCTATGTAATGAAGACTTAAAAGCCTTTCTACCACTACTTAACAACTTAGCCCCCTCGATCAAATTCACAGTAGAATTAGAGAGTGGCTGCAAATTACCATTCCTAGACTGTCTGATCCACAGAGTAGGTAACATCTTTAAGTTCAGTATTTATAGGAAATCTACTAATGTGTGTTCATATATTCATAATTATTCTGCCCACCATAATAGAGTCAAACAGTCAGTATTCTTATCAATGTCTTCACGTGCTCTCTAAATATGCAGTCCGGAATTCATTGATGAGGAATATAAATATATCTATAATATTGGTTTGAACTTAAAATACTATAGTTCTTTTAAAGACAAATGCCTTAACATCGCTAAGAAATCTTTTTATAGAACTGATCCAAAGCCTCCCCATGACAATATGAATCTCTTAGTATTACCTTTAAAAAAAATTATCTCAAAATCCTCTACAACTGAAAACCTGGAACATAAATGTAACATTTAGTAACTTGTGCACTGTAAAACAACTGTTAATTAGGAACTCCCCCAACAATGCAGGTGGCTGCATTTACAAGGTTCCTTGCATTGAATGTAATATGTTCTACTTAGGCCAGATTGGAAAATATCTTATAACTAGACTTAAACAACATAAATATAATTTTAGGACAGGCCAGGAATCCAATGCTCTGTTCATTCATATGAGAGATAATAAGTATTGCGTTGACTGGGATAATGCCTCCTCAATATTACCTTGTAATTCAATTGTCAGTAGGAACATTCTAGAATCTAGTCTCATTAAGCATACCAAATCTGTCAACATGAATTTGAGTAATGGCATGTACAAGTTGGACAATTTTGTTATTAAGAAGATTTGTAACCAGGTGAAAGGGTTGGGTTACTCTACCTTATGACCTAAATATGGTGGACACCTGCTGTCTCTAGGGACTTGATCTCACTCTCCTTTAGTGAATACATTAGCCTTGTCAATAATTACTCCTTAGTCCAGGGGCATATATTCTGGGTATGCTTGGACAAATTATAGAAAATGCATCATAAATACTTAGCTCACTCAACAATATAATGGATCATAGTAGGAAACTATTTTTTTTGTCCCCTGTTATGAAATATTGCAGCAGTTGTTTTGAGGTAGCACTGCACACCTTATTATTGGTTGCATCATGATATGGCACTGGGCGGACGGTGGGGATAAGGGGAAACTAACAGCTGAAGGTGGCGGCTCTTGCACCAACACACTGCCGGGTTAGTTTCGTGTTTGAAGTTGTATGATCATTTAACATCATCAGTACAAAAGCATGAAAGATCTCAGGCACATGTTCAGGCATTCTTGGCCTACAAAATGTTTGGCAAGCAGAGAATAGACACCTTAATTGACAGTCAACGAAAGGCTGAAATATGCAGACACAATAAGCAAGTAAAGAAGAATAGAGAAATTTTGAAGAGAATCATTGATGCAGTGTATTATCTAGCAAGACAAAGGCTTCCACTACAAGGCCATGATTAGTCCAGTAATTCAGCCAACAGAGGTAATTACATAGAATTACTTAATTTGTTCAGAAAGTATGATTCACTCTTCGATGCTCATCTAAATACTTCAACGGTGTTTCAAGGAACTTCACCAACTGTGCAAAATGATATCATCCAAGCAATATCTCAAGTTGTTATGGACCATATAAAGAATGAGATAAGCTCAGCATCCTTTGTTGCAGTCATACTCGATGAAACATCAAATCTAATGTCAAAATTTTAGCTCTCTACGGTTTTGCGTTTTCTTCCTAATGGAAAAGTGAATGAAAGATTTGTTGGATTTATTGATGTGAGTGCTGACCGAACCTCTGATGGTCTCTTCAAGCACGTTGTGAAGGCAGTAGAGGATTTTCAAATTCAAGACAAGTTAGTTTGGCAGACCTATGATGGGGCCAGTGTGATGAGTGGGCATGTAAATGGATTGAAGAGGAAAGTGCTTGATGAGTATCCCCTCACCATTTTTACACTGCAATGCTCATATGTTGAATTTAGTTCTCCAGTAAGGTCTTTCTAGCATCAAGGAATGCATAATCTTCTTCCAAACCTTGAGTGGCCTGGCAGCATTTTTTTCTAAATCTTCTAAGCAGTACATGCGCTTCAGGAATTTGTTGCTAGGAAATTACCCTCTGTTGCACCCACTAGATGGAATTTTACATCTCATTTGAGCAACACAGTATAGTACAGAAATATAGGCCCAGTTTATTGAGTTTTTCCAGGACATTATCGAAAACTCTGAAGATTGGGACAATTACACTACTGTAAATGCACAAGGATTTCTTAGTTTTCTGCAAAATTTTCAAACAATTTTGCTTCTTGAAATTTTCACTAAACTATTGGGCTATACTGGTGTCCTGTACAATGTGCTACAAAGCAAAGTTTATGATGTTCTGTACTGTTGCAAGAAGATATGTGATGTGTCACAACAACTTAAGCATGACAGAGAACATGGATTTGAAGGTTTGTGGGCTTCTGCAGTGTCCAGAAAATGTGTCAATGATGACCAGAGGTGTAAAAGGCTTAAGTTAATGGAGGGTGATGGAAAAAGCTCTTACCTTGGACTGTAACAGAATATAATAGACAGCTTATGCATGCTGATTGAGTGTAGGTACTCTTCTCTTTCAAAGCTTGAGTTTTTCCAACTTCTTTGGGATGAGAAATATGAAGGGTACAGAATAAAATTCCCTGATCACTTACTAACAAGTTCAAGGATTTCTATGGCCCCCTCTTTGATTACATTCACTTGAACCCCATATACAATACTGTATATATCTCATCGTTAAAAATAACATCATCAGCAATACATCTCCAAAATGCAGTGATACCAAATTCATTCTGTAACACAATTAGAAGATTTCGTGAATAAAAGTATACCTGTATACACTTTTTTGCTCGACATAAATATATTTGCTACTTAGCTTTCGTCTTTATTCAAGACATCTTCAAGTCATGAGACCGCTAAATCCCCACCCTGACAATGGGTGATCTTACATTGCCTGAGACCACTAATCCCCCACCCCACCTCCATCTGACATTGATCAGGTCAGGTCAGTATGAGGTTCATTAATCCCCCATCATTATCATATTTTTGTGACCGTAAAGTGAGCAGTGTAACTTTGAAAATGTCTGGCAACATTTTGTTCACAATCTTTAAGGCCATGACAAAGGCTACACCTCCAGTACCCACTCTTCAGATTCCCCAATGTCTGTGTGGGACTCAGATTGATGTCTCCACTCCACCTTAAAAGTCCCTTTATTCTTGAAGGGGACATGTGATGATGACTAGACTTGTTCGTATTGATGTGGTAGGTGTTGTTTAATTGTGCTGTAGTGCTATTAGTATTCTAGGATTTTTTTGGGGATACATATGGGTGTTTGACTGGCCAGTAACCTAGCCTATTGAACTACATGTTATAATGAACCTGATTTATGATATTTTGACCTGCAATTTGGTTTTCTGGAACCTAAACCATTGTAAATAGAAGTTTACCTGTACAGTATTGTATTGCAGGAGTCACTAAGTAGGCAGCCTGTTCTGTATTAAAGGAGTAACCTAGTAGGTAACCTGCTGAGCCCGTACTGTACTGTATTACAGTAGTCAACTAGGAGGCATACTCTACAGTATTGCACGAATCACCTAGTAGGCAGCCTGTAATGTATTGCAGGAGTCACCTTGCTATCAGTTCCACCCAAATTATTTTTTCAGGGTTAATTTCTAAATTTCCACAGGTTCAAAAGTATTATGGTCAGCTATGTGAGGCAGCTTTTGGGGCTTATTACCATGATATGGGGAACATACTACTCTGTACTGTATGTCATTTGGCAACTGCCCAACAGGCTTTAACTGGTTTAGGTCTCATTAGCTCCTAACTCAATTCCCATATTCATAAAATTTTATTTTGTTTTCAGTCCTGTGTTTTTCTTACATAATTACCAGAAACAATATACAATCACTGAACTGATTACTAGAAATCATCATCTTCTTTCGACCCTATTTTAGTCATTTTCCTAATTTTTTGGCAAATAATACTGTTTGTTTTGTTTTCTTGATGCAGGATACTGAAATTACGGAGAATTCCCACTTGGAGAATATCACAGATGGAGCAACGCAAATGATTCAGTTAAATTCTGATAACCAGACACTGCAGGGCTTCACTCTGGCTTCATACAACCAACCATCCTCTGCCACAACTGTAATGCTGCAGGAAGGGACTAACCAAGAAACAGATAGGCAGATTCAGGTATGTGTCCATTTGCTCTTTACAGGGGTCCCCGGGTTATGAACGGGTTCCGTTCCAGAGGACATTCTATAGTCAGATTTTATCGTAAGTCAAATACATGGTACAGGTTGACAACCCTTTATCCGAAATTCCGAAAACCGAAAAGCTCTAAAAACCGAAAGTTTTTTTTTTTAACAGGGATTATTAGCCCACCCAGGCACAGATCGCTGACCCACCTCGGGGGCCTGGGGGCAAAATGTAATAGTAATAATAATTATAATAATAATAATTATTCATAGTAAATAAAAAATTTAATAAAAATACACCAAAATAAAATAATAATGATTACAATAATAATAATAATAATAATAATAATAATAATAATAATAATAATAATAATAATAATAATAATAATAAAATATACAGTTAACCCTCACTTTAAGTTAATGTAACCCGGAGGTCAGCGTAAAGTGAGAAGCAAGTGAATAACATAACATATGGGATTAATTGAAATGGAGTCGGGCCGATCCCCAAACTCCACTTTTGGCGACACACAACTATGTTGTAGTAAAAATATTATCTTAACTTTATGATGGTATGCACACACAATTAATAATTAAGAGAAATATCAATAATATTAGGTTTTTAACACTTACATTAGTAGAAAAATAAAGGGCTGCGGGGATGGCGGTTGGTTCGAGGCAGAGGGCAGATTATTGGCCTCCACCTGTCACTTGTATCAATTGTATCACTATCCACCACAGAGGCTTTGGGGCCTCTTTGTCAAACTCCCAAAGTCCATATCCTCACCATAATTATCACATATCACTGACTTGGGCGGCTGTGGTGGGTGGCGGGTGAAAGAACTGGTAATGTTTTGATGACTGGGCACTTGTGCGCACCATGTTCGCAGCTACACAACATGGCGGATGGGGTTTGGATCAAAATGGCGTGGCTCGCCAGCTCTCCGTGTAAGGGGTACGCGCCGCTGGAATGTGAGCATCCTGGGTTTCGGGCAGGGCGTAAGCGTGGAAGCGCGGAATGTGGGACAGCGTAAAGTGAGGTTAACTGTAATAATAAAATTAATAATAATAATAATAACAATAATACTGTAAATAAAATAATAATACAGTAAAAGAAATACAAGAATGAAAAAAGATCAAAAAGTGAGAAACGACCTAGACCTATAATTATTATTTATAATTTTTATTATATTTTCGACCCCCAGGCCCCAATGTGGGTCAGTGATCTATGCCGGGTGGGCTAATACACAAAAAAAAATCTGAAAACCGAAAAATTCCGAAAACCGAAATGCCTCTGGCCCCAAGGATTTCGGATAAAGGATAATCAACCTGTATATGCATACGTACTTACAGAACAATGTTTAAAATTCCACTACAGTATATCATAGCCTAAGTCCTTATATACATCTAAAATCACTTAATTTAAGACAAAAGAAGAAATAGAATGACAAAATACAGTACCCGGTAAATGAAGGTAAAAAATAAGTCATCAGGAAAATAAAATACTGTAAATTTCAAGTTTAACCCTAAAATGCCACGGGTGACATTCCAGAACGTCCGCCTATTTCTGCCACTTTTCTTTTTATTATTTTTGGAAAAGTTGATTTTTTTAAATTTATCCCGCCGGGGAGGGAGGGGGGAACGCCAGCAGCACCCTAACCCAGGGCTTAAGGGTTAATCTCGTTCGTATCGGCGGCCAATCATAAGTCAGACGTTTAGTAAGTCGGGGATTTTCATATGCAACTTTACATATGATCTAAATTATCGCTTTAGGGTTTCCATAAGCAAATTTGCATAGGAACTAAAAAGTTACAGCAAAATAATTTTGTTCCCATATGAGTGCTAGATACACAAGATGCACATTTAGCAGTGTCAGTGTGATCTGGCACCTATGTATGAACTACTTCTCGAAGGTTACAGTCGCCCTCTGTGGTTCAGCGACACAGGATGTAACTTTGACCAACATTTCCCATCATTCTCACGTGGCTTGTGCTTATTTCTCATTCATCACATTTATTGATAACAGTGTTGTGGTAGTTTTGAACCATACCTCGTGTTGCTGGCAAGGAGGAGGGGTGGGAAAATGTAAAAGTACAAGGAGATTGCAACACGTAGTGATTGTGTGGTGGCTTCTGAGGCCTCTCCCAGTGTCCCTAGCCCTTTTAGTACAAGTGATAGATGGGTTTGCGGGTTTTCATGGGTGCTGAGTACTGTACAGTGGTGATGTACCCTCTCCGTTTTTGCACCACTGCATAACATTCAATAAATGCCCAATACACTTCTAAACAAAGACCAAAATCCAAGGTTTAGAATTTCGGTCTACAAAGATATCTTTAGTCTAGTCTAACCTAACCAGACCTAACCTTGCCTAACCTAATGTAACCTATGCTAACTTAACCCAATTATCTTGTAGACCGTACACTATAGTAACACCAGAATTTATTGCCTCATCCATTTTGAACTCTTGGTATATGTGGCTCAAGAAGTTCATGGATGCATTCTTTGGACAGCCTATATCTCTTGATGAACTCCTCCTCAGAGAGATAAGCAAAAGGATTTTGATGGTCTCTAATAACAATCCTTGGTAGCCTCACAGCATCAGCTCGCTTTACATACCAGAATGCTATAATGCCAGCCTGAAAAAATAATACAAAATCTAATATCCATTATCTATATAATGCAGTAACTATTGTATATCAGGTAAATTACTTTTGATAATATTTTACAAGCTTGTTGCATAACTATTCCAGAGAATTTCCTTAAGAAATTTAACTTTTGTTTATTATTGTTCCAGTTGAATTAAGACAGTACTGACACAATTTAAATCGAGTGATTGAAAATATCATTAATCAGTGATGGCACTTTTTTTCCAACCCTGAGTTGACCATTTTCTCTAAAAAATATTTTACGTCACCTAACCTAAAATTACAATCATTGGTAGTACCTAAATACAACCAGAACAACAACCCAAACAGTGAAATATAGCGTGGTGAACCGGCTGGTTAATTCCAGGTTAACCAGGTTGGTACACATATATTATATTGGGCTTTAGTAACGAAACCCAATTGAGCCGTCTTCTTTTATTAAAAAGTATTATTTGTATAATTCCTGAGTGTAGATCAACCGTAAGTTCCACTATTTATGAGTGTGGTGAGAAAGGGACGGCGTCTATGTAACTAGACGTGAATCAACATCCGTTCGATATTAGTTGGCGAGTGAGACTTTGGAGTAGTGACCCATCGAGGAGAACGGAATAGGTATGCGTCTCCCCTAGAGGAAGACGGAGCCATCCACTGGCGCTCTCAAATAACGTCTTCCTCTAGTCAAGGATATCAAGCTACTGCCGCTTTTAGGTGGCCAGGAGCTGGCTACTTTATGCCTTTAGTCAGCATAGTATGACGCAACTTCCCGTGGGCACACCTTATCACGTGCATTGAACATGTCACCTCATAGCCAGTGGAAAGTTACAGGGGATGAATCAGTATATAAATCAAATGTAATTAACCCATTTATATAAGTTTTATGTTTCTGAAACATGGGCCATTACATTGGGTCACAGGTGACACTTGTTGTAATTTATTACCTCGGCAATCTACCAAGTACATTTGGCTCATCTTAGATCTTTCCGATATAATACATTGGCAAATTGAAAATGGCATTACAGTCAGCTCTTAACATACTGGAGTTAGGTAACAGATATACCCGTGAATGTTAAGAACTGCATATTTTTGTTGCCCCTCCCCTAAAAACACCTCTGGCCCCCCCATGTCCTTTTTACCGTATATACCCGTGTATAGCACGAGTTCTTAAGACCAAATTTTTGGGCAAAAAGTTGGGGGTCGACCTCTATACGGGTAATAGTTTCGTTAGGTTGAAAAATATTTACCAGTAACTACCAGTAAACAATGGAAACGACGCACCAACGCACCGCCCGCTGTGAGTGTCGGTACAGTTGCCAGGGCAGATCTCTTGCGTCATCATAGCAAGCCCAAAGTAGCCAAATGCATGGTATGGTAGCACAGGACGATGTAAAACATAAAGTATTCATTTTTTAAAGTTTATAGATACATAATTTTTTTGTCATTACATTTGAAACATCAATCTTTGTTAATTAAATTTGAAACAAAAGAAAACTACGATACCGTATTTCTAAATGCCGGGTATTTTCATTAAAATATTACATCACAAGTATATTTTACCTTAACTGTGCCTGAAAGAATATATTCTCAGAATAAATATGGAAATGTAATATGTTTGCTGAAATGACGTACGTATTACAGTGGAAAGTGGGATAAAATCATGATGAAAACAATGACTTTCGCTTTCTTTCGTTGTTCTGAATATCTTCATTAAAATCCATCAAAATCATTTTCCTTGCCATCAGCACCAAACAGCTACTCCCAGTCCTCTCCTTGAACAGTATCATCATATGGATCAACACCATCATCAGCCATAGGATCATCAATATCTTCATCCTCAATCTCTCATTAGCCTCATAATCCCACAACAAGTCGTCTTCTGTTCCATCAAGAGCATTAGAAATCCCACATTTCTTAAAAGATTTCACCACAATTTCTGGTCTGATTGCGACCAGGGCTTTGCTGAAACGTGATGTATTTCAATGTAAAATAGGATAAAATACATGACGAAAACAAAACACTTTACCTAAGCTTCCGATGTTCTTGAAATGTTACTCATTTTTTTAATAGTTTTTGGTTAAAATTCTGTTATATTACAATGATATTCTATTCATACTGTGCTTGATATAATACATTCACAGAAATGTAATATTTTTGCTGAAATTACGTACGTATTACAGTGGAAAGTGGGATAAAATCGTGACGAAAACAATGACTTTCGCTTTCTTTCGTTCAAAAGATGTTACAGTAATCGCTTTTCGAATGGTTTAGTTAAAAACTGTTGTATTACAATAATATTCCCTCCTAATTGACTTGAATAAATACTTGAATGGAAATATACAATATTTTTGTTGAAACT